AATGTTTGGCTGTTTTTCGGTATTTTGGCAGATTTTTTTTTTTTTAATCGGTAAAGTTGGAAAATTTGCCGATCGGTCGATTTTCACGGCAATGATGGGCAAATCGGCCGATCTTTTACCGATAAAAAAAATCTGCGCATGAGCAGCGACCTGCAAGAAGAAGAAAGAAGAGGAATTCCAGTCTGGCAAAAAGTGTCCCTGCAGAGAGCTCCGCTATTTCTTTGACAGTTCCTTGACATTTATAGCGGTTGCAACAATGTATAGGCACTATATATAAGTACCTATACTTAGATACTTAAATAAATACAGTTACTTTAGTCCCTAATCTTCAAGGGGCATACAATTTAAGGTCCCCAACTCACATTCATACATACTAGGACCAATTTAGGCAAGATCCAATCAACCATTGACATTAATAGCGGTTGCAACAATGTATCTATTTGTTTCTGAATAAAAACATCTGTATCCTAAATGGATACAAATAGATACATTGTTGCAACCGCTATAAATGTCAAGGAACTGTCAAAGAAATAACGGAGCTCTCTGCAGGGACACTTTTTGCCGGCTGTAGATGGGATGAAAATTGGCCGATTTTTTTTTTTTTTTACCGTTGCTGGTAACGTCGGCTGCTTGAACGACCGATTTTTCATTTTTTTTAAGAAAAATCGGCCGATTTTCGACCCGTCTATGGACTGCATAAGGCATAATAAAAAAAAAAAAACCCATACAACACACACCACTTACTGAAATCGGAGTGCACAGAATCTGGTACAGCTGTGCATTGTAATCAGCTTCTAACTTCAGTGTTTTCAATTAATCTTTGACAATAAAGCCTGGAAGCTGATTGGTTACCACAGCTGAACCAGACAGTAAATCCACCAGACATGCCAACACACATACTTTAAATAATATTTTTCTGCATAATATTTTTTTGCCAATAACAAATATTATTAACAATGATAATGTTAACAACACTAGTAAGAACAATAATAATAATATTGTAGGACTTCTCCTGAGCCTCTCCTATGGAACTCCCTTCCCCACGCTGTCCACTTTTAGACAATCCCTGAAAACCTCTCTCTTCAGAAGAGCCTATCCTGTCCATGTTGTTCCTCCATAAGTAAATCCCCCCGTTATTACCTTTTGGATCACTAGACCCTCCACTTTTAGATTGGAAGCTCTATCAAGCAGGGCCTTCTGATTCCTCCTGTATTCATTTTTATTGTCATATCTGCCCTCACATTGTAAAGTGTTGTGCAAACTGTTGGTGCTATATAAATCCTGTATAATAATAATATGAAGAATGCTTTTCTGCCCAATATTTGTTCTGCAGAGTAAATGATAATAATCCATCCACGTGTTCCAGTACAATCTCTCCTGAGGTCAGTGCCCACACGTTCCCAGGTACCATTGGAGGTCTGTCACCTACCCACCCCCCATGTGATCTGTCCCTGGCCAGCCCCTCCATCATACATAGAGCACACACAAAGACCGATCACGTCTCAGAACACATAGTAGATGGATCATCAGCACCGACCTGGGATCGGATTCCTATGTAGTGCCCAGCATGGGATCACTCACCGTCACACTCAGCCCTCAGTGCTCCCAGCCCCGTCTCTCCTCCCTTTGTGTACTCTGTCTCCGCTGATACATGTGTAGAAGAGACTAGGAGGGCTGTGACGTCACGAGAAGGCGGGCGGTGGCCATAGAGTGATAAACATGGAGGGGGAGGGGAGAATGGAAGAGAACGGCAGTCAGGGCTCTGGGAAGAATCTTCTCAAGCAGATGAAAGGCGTGACAGAGGGGGATGGGGCCCCTTATTGCCATGGCCAGATCTTTGTATCATGTTTGTTTTGCCTCTGATAGAAGGTACAGGTGTCATGACGTCACACACAACAGTACACTGTACTAGGGATGATGACATCATGGAACAATATTTACCTACGGTCATTCTAGAAATATAAGCACAGTTGATAAGTGGTTAGCACTTCCACCTGGTAGTACTAAGATTGTTGGTTCAAATCCCAACCATGGCACCACCTGCCTGGAGTTTGCATGTTCTCCCTGTGCCTGTGTGGATTTCCTTTGGTTTCCTCCCATGCTTCAAAGACATGCTGGTAGGTTAATTGGCTCTAGTATGTAAACGTATATTAGGGACCTTAGATTGTAAGCTCCTTGAGGATTAGGGACTGATATGAATGTTCTCTCTATATATGTAAAGTGCTGCATAAATTGACAGAACTATTATTTATTCCAGGTACTTATATAGTACTGTCAGTTTATGAAGTGCTTTACATATATATTGTACAGTCAGGGCAGCACAGTGGCTAAATGGTTAGCACTTCCGCCTGGTAGCACTAGGGTCGTTGGTTCAAATCCCAGCCATGGCACCACCTGCCTGGAGTTTGCATGTTCTCCCTGTGTCTGCGTGAGTTTCCTCTGGTACTCCGGTTTCCTCCCACACTCCAAAGACATGCTGGTAGGTTAATTGGATCCTGTCTAAATTGGCCCTAGTATGTGTATATATGAATGTGAGTTAGGGACCTTAGATTGTACACCCCTTGAGGGTTAGGGACTGATGTGAATGTACAATATATATGTGTATAGTGCTGCATAAATTGACAGCGATATATATAAGTACCTATACTTAGATACTTAAATACAATTACATCAGTCCCTAACCTTCAAGGGGCATACAATTTAAGGTCCCTAACTCACATTCATACATACTAGGACCAATTTAGGCAGGATCCCATCAACCTACCAGCTAGTCTTTGGAGTGTGGGAGGAAACCATTGTACCCAGAGGAAACCCACGCAGGCACAGGGAGAACATGTAAACTCCAGGCAGGTGGTGCCATGGTTGGGATTCAAACCAAGGACTGCCAGGCAAATGTGCTAACCATTTAGCCACTGGGCCGCTATATAAGTGCCTGTAAAAAAATAAGTGTGTGTACGGGATGGTATGAGTATACTAGGCGTCAGCTTGTTATGTTGATCCATGGGCTTCAGTACTTGTAGCTGAGCCCCCCTTCACGCGTGAACATTTTTCTGCTTGTTTCTCTACACCTGAATAGGCAGAATCCCAAATCAATGTACACCACATTAAAAGAGAAGTATGGGCAAAACTACTTCTCATCTGGGTCGCAGGAATGCACTTACTGTTTGCTCTTCTGTGACACAAAGTTAGCCTGCTGTGAGATGACATCACAGAGCCACTTCAGGCTCTGGAAGGATATTGTCAGGATTCACCCCACTGCCTGATTGACAGTTGGCTTAGCATGAAGCTGAGAGCCAGAGATAGCTGTGCCCGCCCTCTCCTCCGCTTGGCACTCCAGTGCAGGAGCAGAGAGGAGAGCGGAGACTGACAGTTACTGTGCTTCTCTCCAAGAACACTGAGAACTGAACGATCAACGCTCATGTGATCACTGAGTTCTCGGTCTCAGACATTTGCAGTATCATACCGACGCTGCAGCATAGAGGTGAGGATGTGCATTTATTTATTTTTTTCTAAACCCCAAACATCTCCTTTAACATCCATCATACCATGAGATACCTCTATATGAAGGGCTTTCAAGTCAACTTTTGAGTTTATATAATAAAAAAAAACAAATTTCAAGGAGTGAAAACTGCATTTATTTTTTGACATACTCCCCTGCTACATTATACACTTATCTCAGCATTTAATGCCTGGAAAGCTTCGACATAGAAAGATTTGTCAGTATGCCTGAACCATCCTAGAACAGCCTGCTTCACTTTGTCATCATTGTGTTCATTTCACAATATGTTCTGTGTTGATTATCCAGGATCAGGAGTTCACAGGAATGACTGCTGTGAGCTGGGAACCACTATGACCGGGATCGTCACTGACAGACGTACAGCCATCTTTACACCATTCAAATGTTATACTGCGGCTGAACATCTCATCACCATACCGTGCTTGAAGTCTTCTGTAGAAGGTTTTACGCCTTCTTTCTTCATCAGCACATTCTGTTCCATGCATGCACTAACACTGTTGTCCGCCATCTTGATTAAAAGTCTCTGGACTGGCCTGCAACATATGCACCACCTATAAGTAATAGGACACACTTGCCACTTACCACTGCGTGTAGTGCCGCCACGCTAGCATCCCTTTTTTATACTTGTAAATTTAAAAGTCCTGGTTTGACTTTAACGCCCCCGTATTAAAGTAAACACACAATAAGGCTACGTTCACACTAGCCTTGTGTGCAGGCGGCAGAGAGGCGTTTGGGAAGCGTTTTTACCGCTTCCCAAACGCCTCTGCCAATTCTGCACATTACAGCACATGGTGCTGTTCTAACGGGAGCGTTTGCGAGTGTATATGTATAATTAAATTGGGAAACACCTGTTCTAGCTGGCGTGATTAAGGAGACTAGGAACGCAGTGATTGGCTGGGTGTTAAAACTATGTAGATGAAGGGTGGTATTTATATGAGCTATCTGATGTTCCCATCTGTACTGCCCCTTGATGACGTCGGTGTGACGAAACCGGTTGGGCGTAGCCTACTCGATGTGGACGTTAGAGAGCCTTGCTGTTCTGTGCTGTATGGGAGAGATCCGCGGTGAGCGTTAACTGTATCTCACCCCTTTTTTGCGATTGAAGCTGGTGTCTGTTGGACACCTTGTTTGTGAGTTTCCTTATACCATTTTTATTAAAGAGATAAATGAAAAAAAACGTATTGCACCATTATGTTCTCTTTTTTGTCCCTGAGTGTACTGCATGTGCTCATGGAGGTATGAGAAAGAGTGGAGAAGTTCATAATAAGAGCTTGGGCTGCAAAGTTGTTTGTCTGTGATTATTATTATCTGGAAGTATCTGAAACATCACCATATCTATTTGGACATCGGGTTCATTACTCCCAGGGCACAAGTGCTGTTGCTGGTTTATAATCTGACCAGCCATTAGCTCTGGTGAGTTCATTTAAAAACACTTCAATATTGCATGATATACACACACATATATATATATATATATGGCTACAGGTGTATAAAATCAAGCACCTAGGCATGCAGACTGCTTCTACAAACATTTGTGAAAGAATGGGTCACTTTCAGGAGCTCAGTGTATTCAATCGTGGTACTGTGATAGATTGCCACCTGTGCAATAAGTCCATCCATGAAATTTTGTTGCTATTAAATATTCCAATGTCAACTGTTAGTGGTATTATAACAAAGTGAAAGCAACTGGGAACAGCAGCTACTCAGCCACGAAGTGGTAGGCCACATAAAATGACAGAGTGGGGTCAGCGCATGCTGAAGCGCACCGTGCGCAGAATTCACCAACTGTCTGCAGAATCAATAGCTGAAGACCCCCAAACTTCGTGTGGCCTTTAGATTAGCACAACAACCGCGTGTAGAGAGCTTCATGGAATGGGTTTCCATGGCCAAGCAGCTGCATCCAAGCCTTACATCACCAAGTGCAATGCAAAGCGTCAGATGCAGTGATGTAAAGCACACCACCACTGGACTCTACACCAGTGGAGACGTTTTCTCTGGAGTTATGAACCACACTTCTCTGTCTGGCATCCTGATGGACATGTCTGAGTTTGGTGGTTACCTGGAGAATGGTGCTTGCCTGACTGCATTGTGCCAAGTGTAAAGTTTGGTGGAGGGGGGATTATGGTGTGCAGGTGTTTTTCAGGGGTTGGGCTTAGCCCCTTAGTTCCAGTGAAGGGAACTCTTAAGGCGTCAGCATACCAAGACATTTTGGACAATTTCATGTGGGAACAGTTTGGGGATGGCCCCTTCCTGTTCTAACATGACTGTGCACCAGTGCACAAGGAAAGGTCCATAGGGACATGGATGAATGAGTTCAGGAACTTGACTGGCCTGCACAGAGTCCTGCCTCAATCCATAGAACACCTTTGGGATGAGTGGAGACTGCGAGCCAGGCCTTCTCGTCCGACATCAAATGTACTTCTGGAAGAATGGTCAAACATTCCCATAGACATACTCCTAAACCTTGTGGACAGCCTTCCCAGAAGAGTTGAAGCTGTTTTGGCCGCAAAGGGTGGGCCAACCCAATATTGAGCCCTGTTCTGTTAGTCGATCCTGCTCAGATGCTCACACACTGTAGCTAGTAGCAGACATTTTATTAGCTGCTCATAGCTGCCATTAAACATGTGTCTGCTTTTTTAGAACTACAACCAAAGAGAGGCAATAACACAGTTGTACCAGTATCTAAGTAGTGAGACCCCTAGAGGCCATACACAGCATATAACATATTTCTACATCCTTTCTCTTTTAAATAAAAGAACAATGAAATATAACAAACACAAAATGGTGAAGTAGAACATAGCTATAAGTTAGATATAATCCTTGAGGTGAGCCGGCTTTCTGATTGTTCTGCCAGCTCGCGTAACATATGAGGTTTCTTCACAGAAATCTTGGTGTTCTTCTGATTCTGGCAGTCTATTTTCTGGGACTGTCTCTCTCTGCCTAGAGACCTCCCTATCCTCCTTGTTGCTGGTATTCATAGTCTCATCGCTTTGAGTGTCCATATACTGTTCCCAGGGCCCTGTATCATCTCCTTCTTGTGTTTTTCTCAGATGTCTCCGATTTCTCCTCTATCTTCTTCCTTCCTCTGTTATAATTTCATAGGACCGTGGTCCCAATTTCTGTACAACCTTCGCTTTTTTCCAGTGTTTGTCATATTTGCCTATTGGCTGAATCCGTACATTTTCATTGCTCTGGAGAACAGGCGGATCTTTTGCAGATTTATTATAATAGAAAGCTTGCCTATCTTGATTCTTCGTTAGTTTGGCTTTAACATTGCCCACAAGCTTTGGCTTTAGTAGTTGACCTGCAGTTGGTAGGAGAGTCCTTGTTCGTCTACTCATAAGCCGCTGTGCTGGACTGGTGTCTAGGCCTTGTGTGGGTGTGTTTCTGTGGTCCAGTATAGACAGGTATCTCTCTGTACCTGCCTTTTTTGCCTTTTGCATGAGTCTTTTGGCTGTTTTTACTGCTGACTCCACTTTACCATTACTCTGTGGATATCCAGGAGATGATGTCTGGTGCTCAAATTCCCACCTCTACCTGAATTTTTTGAATTCTTCCGATGTAAATTGAGCAGCGTTGTCAGAGAACACAATATCCGGAATGCCATATGTGGCAAAATGGGCCTTGAGTTTTTTAATTACTGGTTTGGCCCTTGTGTCCTGTCAGTAGTCTATCTCCCAGAAGTTGGAAAAATAGTCCACAGTTACCAGATATTCCTTGTTGTTCCACGTGAACAGATCTGTTCCTACTTTTGACCATGGTCTGTTTGGAATTGTATGTGGGTGCAATGTCTCTTTCGGTTGCTTATCATTGCACAATGCACATATTTCACACTGTGCTAGAAAGTTTTTTATGTGGTCATTCATTCCAGGCCAATAAACATATTCTCGTGCACGACGTAGACATCCTTCTACACCTAAGTGAGTCGAGTGCAATCTTTCTATAATGTCTCTTCTAAAGGATTTTGGTATGACAGCCCTTTCTCCTTTAAAGATGATTCCATGCTGCACAGAGTTCATCTCTTATGTGAAAAAATGGAGAAACCTCCATTGGAGCATGCTGCTTGTGTTTTGGCCATCCCTTCAAGATGACAGTCGATAGGATCTGTAGAGTTTTATCTTCCGCTGTGCAGGTCTGTATTTGTTTCAGTCTGTCTTTTGAGACAGACAGATATTCACACATATTGATGCTTTCAATGTCTTTTTCTTCTTCATTTGTGATGGGTAAGTAAGCTCTGCTTAGGGCATCTGCAATCAGTAAATCCTTTCCTGGACAGTAACAAATGTTAAAATCATATTTCTGAAGCCTTAACAGCATACGCTGCAGTCTTTTTGGGGCATTCAGTAGTGGCTTCTTTGTAATACTTTCTAAAGGCTTGTGATCTGAATGCACCACCACTTGTCGACCATAGGTGTACTGGTGAAATTTCTCTAACCCAAATACTACCGCTAGTAGTTCCTTCTCGATTTGAGCGTATCCTTGCTCTGTTAGAGTTAACGCTCTGCTTGCATATGTGATTGGCTGTTTATCCTGCATTAGTGTGGCTCCAAGGCTGGTTTCTGAGGCATCACATTGTACTACCACTGCTTGATCTGGATCAAAATATTTTAGCGTTGCTGCATCTGCAATAGCATTTTTCACTGACTGAAAAGCAGTTTCATGGCTTTCTGTCCATTCCCAGAGTACGTTTTTGTGAGTTAGCTGTCTCAGTGGCTCACACATGTCTGATAAATGCTTGCAAAATTTGGAAAGATAATTCACTATGCCCAGGAATCGTTGTACTCCACGTATATTTGTAGGTGTCAGCATGTCCTGTATTGCCCTCACCTTCTCTTGATCGACTTTAACACGATTTGAGGTAAGATGTCCAATATATGGTACTTCTATCATTTTTAGTTTGAATTTTGCCAGGTTCAGTTTGATTTGTCTTTTTCTACATCTGTCTAAGAATTGTATCATCTTTTTATCGTGATCCTTTGTTACCGGATTCTAGATCATCACCTTCCCCAACTATTAGTATATCGTCTGCTATTATTTTTACTCCAGACAGTCCTTCCAAAGCTTGCATCAATTTTTGTTGGAACACTTCTGGAGCTGGGCTTAATCCCATTGGCATTCTCAGCCACTTATAGCATCCAAATGGGAAGAAAATGCTGTTAATAAACTTGATTCTTTATCCAGTTCCACATGCCAGAACCCATTTTTCACATCACATACCAAAAATATTTTAGTCTTTGATAGATCTGGTAGAATATCTTCTATTGTTGGCATTGGATAGTGATTTCTTTTAAGGGCCTTGTTCAGTGGCTTAGGATCAATGCATATTCTTAACTTGCCTGATGTTTTTTTCACTACCACCAAACTGCTTATCCAGTCTGTGCTTTCCTGTACTGGTGCTATCATACCTCTGCTGTGCAAATCCTGCAGTTCCTCTTTAAGCGGTTGCATTAAGGCTACAGGTACTCTTCTTGTAGGCAGTCTGGTAGGCTGTATTGTATGATCAATTTCTAGTTTGTATTTACCTTCCAGGCACCCATCACCTTCAAATAAATCAGCATACTCTGTTTTTATGTGGTGAAAATCCAAAATGTATTCTGCCTTTTGTTTAGGATTTTGAGTATTCTCAGAAACTTCCAGAGCCATGATGTTATGGGACTGCACCTTTATTAAGTCCATAGCCTGAACTGCTTTAACTCCCAGCAAAGGAATGTGGTTGTCCTCCTGCAACACAGTACACTCCACTCTGTAGCTCTTTCTGTTACGTGGATTTCTTAATTTTAGCTTGCATGTTCCCATGGGTTTCAGAACACTTTTGTTGTACATGACCAGTACCTTATCAGTGGGCTCAATGGGAACCTGTTTGTTAAGCAGAGTAAATGGAATGACATTGCAGCTTGCTCCACAATCCAGCTGAAATTTTATGGGCTGTTCATCCACCATAAATATGGCAAAGAGCTGCTTTGCATCATTGGCTACTGGCTGTTTGACTGCATTGACGTTCTCTGTTGCAGACTGCAGCTGAAGCCATGTGATGCCCTCTGTGCTGTCCTCGTCTGTGTCCTGGGTCACTGTGTGGACTTGTCTGTACTGTTTGCTGGTTTTGAATCTGCACACAGCTGAAAAGTGGTTCATCTTGCCACAAGTCCTGCAGGACTCCCCATACGCTGGACATTTCTCTTTGTCTCTTTCATGTCTTTTGCCACAATATTTACACTGGACTGAGCTCACAGGGAGCCTGGACCTTGCTCTGCCTTTCACAGATACTGCATGTACTGAGGCATCACTGGTGCCCTCCATCATCTTCAGCCTGTCTTTAGTCAGCTCAGCAGCCCTGCAGATTTGTATACATTTCTCCAAAGCCAGCTCTTCCTCCCTCAGTAATCTTTCTCTGAGGTGAGAGTCTCTGATGCCACACACTATCCTGTCTCAAATAAGGGAGTCCCTGATGTCCCCAAATCCACAGGTTGCAGCCAGTCTCCTCAGCTCTGTCACATATCTGTCCACACTGTCCCCAAATCTCCTGATTCATTGAGAAGAACTTGTATCTCTCCACTGTCTCATTCTTTTTGGGGTCACAGTGCTTATCAAATGCTTGCAGTATGTCTGTCAGTGCCATGCTGTCTGTGAGCAGGGTCTCGGCTAGTTCTCTGCCTTTGTCCCCAATCAAGTAATAAAACAGCTTTACTTCCCTCTGCTCATCTCTGGGTGCCACTGTCAGGTATACATACAGAGTAAACTCTTCCTTCCAGTGTCTCCATGTCTGTGAGAGATTGGAAGAAGTGACATCCAGTCTCTGAGGGGGTTTCAGGCCACTCTCCATAGTGCAGTCTGATAGGGACTCTGTACTTACAGTTGCTGATTCTCTGTACAGTTCTAGTGTCACACAATCTGTATTTGTAGACAGAAGACTTGCTATTCAGAGGTCCCGTGCCCAGCTGCCACCATGTTCTGTTAGTCGATCCTGCTCAGATGCTCACACACTGTAGTTAGTAGCAGACATTTTATTAGGTGCTCATAGCTGCCATTAAACATGTGTCCGCTTTTAGAACTACAACCAAAGAGACGCAATAACACAGTTGTACCAGTATCTAAGTAGTGAGACCC